TTAAAGGGTCTCCTGATTCGATTTGGATTCGGAGATTCAGCCACTGAATTGGGCCGAATCTCTGCTGAATCAAATTAGTGACTAAAGCTTCGCACAGCCCTAATAAATGCATCACACTGGACACCTTTTGTTAGCAACATAGATGAATATAACAGGAGGAGGGTTCTGTCGAAAATCGTGTTCATCAACAGAAAAAGAGATTGGAAGCTGCATTAAGTTGTACTATAACTTAGTTATAGTAAGTGTAGGAGCCTGGGGGACATGACTTATGAGGAAAGACTGAGGCACCTGGGCTTATTTAGTCTAGGGAAGAGGAGACTGAGAGGGGACTTAATAGCAGCCTTCAACTATCTGGAAGAGCTTTGAAAGAGGATGGAGCTGGATTGTTTTCAGTGGTAGCAGATGACGGAACAAGGAGCAATGGTCTCAGGTTGCAGCAAGTGAGGTTTAGGTTGGATATTAGGAAGAATTTTCTCACTTGGAGGGTAGGAAAATGCTGGAACAGGTTACCCAGAGATGTGATGGAAGCTCCATCTTTGGGGGTTTTCAAAACATGGCTAAACTAAGCTCTGGCTAGGATGATCTGGTTGGGGCCAGTCCTGCTTTTAGTGGTGGGGTTGGACTAGATGCCTTCCTGTGGTCTATGATTCTATATCGCTCCTGAACTGTGTTGGATTTTTTGTTCTTGTTTTTGTTTTGGGTTTATTTTTCTGTAGGTGAAGAAGCCAAAAGAGTTTATAATGATGCTCAGAATCTGCTAAAAACTTTGATTAATCAAAAGAAATTACGAGCCAGGGGCCTGGTAGGGTTCTGGCCTGCTCAAAGTGTTCAAGATGATGTTTATTTATATGCATCAGAAGAGGCAGTGCAGCTTGCAGAACCAATAGCTAAATTTTACGGCTTAAGACAACAGGTAGGAAGATGAAGTATGTGCTGACTAAATGTAAAGTTTGTTGCACTAATTTGTGTTGTAGATGGGACATGTTAAAAATGAAGTTCGCTATTATTTGGTGGGGTAATTACTTCCTAATGCTTCTGTTTCCTTTATTTTTATTCTTTGCTTTAATAATTAGATCTGTAAATGGTATAACAGTTACTTTGTGTTGTTTTGTTTCAAACAATCTTTAGATTTGATCTTTTCTGATTTGTGGTGCTGTTTTCTGTTTGTGCTTCAATATGTAGCCTAAGGCATTCTGATGCTGTGCATCTTCAAAATATAATGTCTGTATTGGGGTCCCTGGATTCTGCATTGTACTAGAAATTTTGTCAGTTTAAATTAAAAACTAATATTTTCCATAACTTAAATATTTGGAATGAACACTGTGCTTCAGCTGAAGCCTCATGAGTGCAGAGCAGAACAGAATACTTGTCTCCCATGACTTCCATTCAACATTTCTGTTAATACACAGGGTTCTCTCTGTTGTACTGGAGCTTGATAGACACTTTCCACCTGAAAATCAAGCATGTATGTGATATTTTTGTTTTTGTTTTTTTAAAAAGACTAGTGTTACAAATAAACTTTAGGGGCTAGAACTGAAGGAGATTACATGGACATTGTGGAAGGGGAGAAATTATTTTTGTTTTTTATTTTATCTTGTGCCTTGACAGCACTTCATTTATAACCTGTTTTGTTCTTCCCTGTATGCTGTCATTGATTTTACTTTAGTTTTAGATTAGTAATAGACAAAGGCAGTCTTAAAAATGTGAACATGTTGTTGTGAAATGACTACTGGAGGCAGAGATTATAAAGTAGTATACATAAAATTACTCCTTTCCTTTAATTGAGTAAATTTCCAGGATGCACGTATCTATTTACAAGCCAATTCCTTTGCTGTACGTGATACGCTAATTGTAGGCCTTGGTATGCAATTTGTGCCTCTTGTACCCCTTGGGATGATTGTTACTCCTGTGTTCTGCCTCTTTCCCTGGTTTTTCTATTGGCCTTCTGGGAAAGGTACAATGCTGTTTCCTTTCCTCAAGAACACTTTTAAGCTACTGTAAGGAGTTTTATAATGGTGTATTCATTTTGAGCATGGATATTTGAACATGCTTTGCAGTGACTAAGGCTTGAATGGTCTCAAAAGCATGGTCAGCACCATTTTTGAAAGTAAGTTGGGGAGGCCGGGGAACTCCACAGCTGGTAGGAGCAGGTCCCATGTCAGCATCTCTCATACAGAACTTAGATGTGAGATGGACTAGCTCTATCATCTGATCCCTCTTATCCCACAGGGGTTGTCGGGTTGTTCTTGTTTTATAGCTTTTTATTCCCAATAGGAAGTATTCATGATTGCTAGTTTCAAGTTGAGGTCAAAATTCTCCTGAGATCTGCCCAGCACAGCATCTCTCTCCTCTGCTTTATGTTCTTCCTCAATGAGCAGAACTCCTTTGTTGGAAGGAGAATACCAATATCTGATTTGGGATCCACAGCACAGATCTGAAAGAGATTTTTTTATCCCTGATTCAAACAGCTGAAAGACATCAGGCATCTAGGACTGGAATATAATACTTCTCTCCTAAAGCTGACAGGATTATCTTGTATCTAGAAGTACTTGCAGTTTAAAACGTTATCTCCCTTCTGTTTAAGGAAAGTAAAGTGACATTTCTTGTGTTTGATGGAGAAATTGACTTAAAAGGAATTCTCTTTTCTTATTCAATATTTTTATTACTTTAGGCAGAAAAGGACTCTGCCTGCATGGATCCATATTACTGTCTCTCTGACTTCATCGCCCCTTTGGATTCTGGAGTTCGTGACTATTTAGGCCTGTTTGCTGTGGCCTGTTTTGGGGTAGATGAACTGTGCAAAGAGTTTGAGAAACAGTGTGATGACTATAACAGCATCATGGTGAAAGCCCTGGGAGACCGGTTAGCAGAGGTAACATTTTATTACAGATCGCACGTGCACTTTGTATGAGGCTTATTTGACAAGTGAATGCTTCACCTTCTTCCATAAAGCCAAATGTCACGAGACCTACAGTTTATGCTGTGCATTAAATCTGAAAACATGAATGTCATGGGAAGAATCCACATAGACAGCAGTACTAGAGATACAGTACAGCTTTCTAGACCTTGTCATCACAAAGGCATCTTAGGTTTACATATCTCCAAAACTATTTTGGTTGGTTTGACAATTTTTAAACTCCTTGCCTTACCTTTTTAAAAATATCTGTGCATCAGGAACTTTGAATTGGACTATCTTTTTTGAGCCCTCACAGGACTCAATAGTTCCACCGTTCAGCGCACTTGCAGGGCTTTTGTTTATATTAGTACTTGTACGAGCATACTGAAGGGGGTACCATTTGACCTACTGAATCTAATGCCGCCTCTCCACTGGGAATTTGTCCTGAGTCCAGCCATGCATAACTGGATGCTATAGGTTGTGCAAGAAAAGATGAGATTTACATCAGTCCAATTTACAGCTTAGCTCTCTGCTTGATAGCATACCCACTTCCACTACAAGTTATAAAGCAGTAAAAACAGACCACGCTCTTGTTAGCCTGGAGCAAGTTGCTGTTAATAGCTTCTGCAAATTAAAAAAGGTTGCCTTGTTTCCCAAGGCATTTGCAGAGGAGCTCCATGAAAGGGTCCGAAAAGAATTATGGGCTTACTGCAACGATGAACAGCTGGATATTGCAGATCTGCGCAGGATCAGATATGAGGGAATCCGCCCAGCCCCTGGGTATCCCAGCCAGCCTGACCACACTGAAAAACTCACCATGTGGAAACTTGCAAGTATTAAAGAAGCAACAGGTACCACCAACATGTTGTTTTTGTCATCTTTATATGTAAATGGAGAGTTAGAACAGTGACAGTATCCAGTGCAGATATTCATAAAACAAAAATCAAGGTGTTAGTTGCCAGGATTGCTGTCCCTTATTTTTCCTTATAGGTTGCTTAATCACAGGCACAGAAGGTTTTTTGGGGTGGAGAGAGGGGGTTCCCCTGTAAGATTATCAGTGGAATATTTATCCTGTAGTGTAGCAGCAGATTTGTCAGCAGAATTCAGTTTTGCATTTAAACATGTTTTTAATGGCTTTATGGTTGCAAGCAAACCTTCCAAATATAAACTAATGCAAGTGACACACAGTCCACACTACTAAATTCTGCCAACAGAGTTTTGAGTGCGCTCACTCAAAAAGCCCCTCTGCAGTGGAAGAACACTTTACTCTGCAGCAGTTGCTGCACCTCTGCTGAGTAGAGTAAGGCTTCTGTCATCAATCAGCATCAACACTCCTATACCTTGCGCTGGCTGTCATAATTTAGTTGGCAGTGACTTCTTCTCAAAGTACATTTTGTATTCTGGCACCATAGTTGATCATGGTAGACCTGCCTGAAGTGTGTGTACCAGTGACCTGCTGGTGTTGGCTGCTGTCCAACTTGGTGTAGATGTAGCCCCAGTCTGCAAATAAGTCTTAGATTTCATGTTGATATTTTAAATGTTAGGGCAGGTTTGCTGCTAGACATAAAATCCCAAGCTGTCCTCTCAGGTTCTCAGAGCCCCAGCTGTTTCCTTCCTAACTGTCAAAATATCCAAGATCCCACCATCTTCCCCCCCCCCCCCCCCAAAAAAAGAAAATGGAGGAAAAAGAACTAGCTTCTGTACTGCAAGTATGCATTACTGATACAGAAATCTGCAGCATATTGAAAAACAAATGTTTGGGAGTTGGGTAAAAAAAACCCCCACAAGGAATATGGAACCAACTGTGGTGCTCATCTCAGTTTAATTCTGTTAAAAACCCTGTTTTTTTAATTTGCCTAAAGCTGTTGTAGAATTTCCAATCTGCTGAAAGAAAAGACTGCAGAAGATAGGCCTGTCATTATTGGTGACTAAACAAAATGTTGTTCTCTCTCTCTCAGATATTGGGTTAACTGAATCGCTTGCAATGACACCTGCGTCTGCCATTTCTGGTCTCTACTTTGCTAACCCCAAATCCAAATACTTTGCTGTTGGGAAAATATGTAAAGATCAGGTAATTTGGATCCCACTGTATGGCTGAGTTACTAACTGTTTGATTTGAATGAAACATTTGGGACGGGTTGTTTCTGGAATATTTTGAAAACACTGAAATCTGGAGACTTAACACCCAGTATGTTAAAATCTTCCTCCTGTTTGTTCCTTTGTAGGTTGAAGATTATGCATTGAGGAAAAACTTGTCTGTGACTGAGGTTGAAAAATGGCTTGGACCCATTCTGGGATATGATTTAGGTTAACAATGTTTTGGAGCAAGCATCTGTCTCGTTCCAGCTGGCTTGTTTTCCAGAAAAGTGTTGAGCTGGGCTTACAGTCCTGCACCCATTTGGTGGATATTCCCAATGTTTTTTGAAATTGTTGTCTTTGTTATATTGGTGGCTTATCTATTATTTTGTTTATTTCTGATGAAGAAGTTTAATATTTAAATATGCCCTCTGTTGATGGGCTGATACTGAAATACCCTATCAAAGGACATAATATATACATTTTTTTTTCTTTGCTGAGCACTGTAATTGGGCAAGGTGTGGCATGAGAGAGAAGGATACTAAGGTGAAGGTTTTAAAAACTGACTTGCAACTTAATCTTGGGAAAAGGTATTTATGATCCTCTTACTGGCTATAAGTAGCACAGAATTTGGCTTTTGGCCTTTAAATGGGTTTAATTGAGTCAAAATACAAAAATGGGGTAAAGAGTGTATAATAATTAACAGACATCTTGCATTCATGGGTAAAGAACAACTTGGAATCTATTTTGCTTCTGTTTAGACTTATTTTTTTCCTGTATGCAGGAGTATACCTGATTCCTAAAACCAGTACTGAATAAGCTATTTTGATTGTGTTTGTTACTATAACTACTAAAGTAACATGATGTTCTGCAACAATCTCAAAGCCACTTCATAACCATGGAGAATTACATAATGTAACTGAGCACAAAACTGGCAGTATGGGAATCTTTCTGGCTTCACATTCTAGCTCATTCCTGCTGTGACTCAGCAAACCCAAGTAATCTGTCTGCCTCCAGGTTTGTAAAATGGGGATAAAACTTTCTACCTCACATGATGTGAGGCTTGCATAGTGCTCATACAACCCTTTGGAGCTGAAGAGCACAAGGTAAATGTGAAGCATTGCTTAGGACACGCTCAAAATAAGCTGTTGACTTCAATGTCCTACTAATGATTAAGTTGTTGGGGGTATGGATTTCAAAATAGTGGCAGCCATACCATTCTGCACTGATAAAGAGCAAAAGGCCTTTTGAAAAGACTGCCATTTTTTTCCTCCGTTGCTGCTTTTGTAAACAAGTAGGCCGAAAAGTGTTACCTGGCAAGGTACTGGATCTAATTACTGTGCTTATTTCTACCTTGGAAATGTAGACAACGGTTAAGGCTACAAAATTAGTTTCCAGATAACGTTTTGAATGTTGAATAAGTTAACTGTTTATAAATTGTTTTTAATAACATTTGGCATCGGCATTAGTCTAGCTTGGGGCTGTGTGTCTAATTGCTAACTTTAATGAAACATGGAAAATGGAGTTCTGCTTTTCTAGGTATTTTTTTTAACCGTCAAGACACAGCCTGTATTGTAAAGGAAAATGCCCTTCTCTAAGTACATTGTTCATAACATGTTAGTATTTATCTAGAGGCTTCCCATATCTGTCCTCATCTAATTTTTAAAAAAACCTGAAAAAGATGTATATGTGAATTTTAGAAAATAAATACTAAGCTCACCCATTGCAATATCCTTGTCAAATCTCAAGCTTTTGTAAAATAAAACAAAGTGTCTAATATGTCATGCCTGTTACCTCATGAGATTTTGAATTGGTATTTTCAAAAGCATATGAGAGTTTGCTTGGAACATGTCAAAAACTCATAAGCTCCACTGGATAAGCACATCAGAGGACAGGCAAGTCTCAGTAAGGGAGTGTGCTCTACTTGGATGAGTCCTTCCCTTCCTCCCCCCATTACCTTCAGTTTGGCCCCTTCAACCCTGTCCCATCCTGTCTGGACTTGTCTTTTTCCTGTCCTGGCTCCTTGTTTCAATACCATTCTGCAGGCTTTTTATCCCACCTAATCCCAATTTTCCCTCCCTGGCTTGTCAGCTGGTCTCTTGTTGTCTACTTCCACAGTTTTGCTTTTTCCCCCATGCTTGTTGCCCATTTATTTCCCACTAAAGACCTCACCAAGTATCAAGATTTCTCCCTTTTACCATGACTCCCAGTCTCCTGTAGAAATAGTCAAAATGATGACCTGAATGAAGTGCATTGTGTTAAGAGTGGGACAAAGGAGTGATGGGGGAG